AGGCTATATTTCAGATACATCACACGCTTCTTTCCTCTTGTTCCCTCAAACAGTAACCAAGAAGAGTATTTTTGTACGAGAGAGGGGCCTCTGCCTGAAGCTCCCTTAATCTGTCAGATCACAGATCAAAAGCTATCACACACTGCCCAAGGGACCCTGCAGGGAGCCACTCTCAGAAAATAAACCCAAACCTCCTTTTTTCTGGCCACTGAAACGTTCAATAATTAGCTCATTATCTAAATCATTTATGTGTTTAATATTTATTGACTTTGGAATTATTGATTACTTTGCTGAGTATCTTATGAATTTAATTTATATTAATATTAAGGCGATGTACCAAATTGCATTCCAGAGTGTGGATTTGACTCCAGTGCCATAATCAGTCTCCCGGGACGTACAGCTGTTTCTCTTCCCTCATTATAGAAAAAAATTGCCCTTGGCAAATGTCAAAGAACATCCTTTTATCCATCTCTCTTACCAATCAATCCAAGCAAACGCAGTGGGCTTTCTTTTCCCCAGAGCGGAAGTCACCTCCTGGCAGGAAGTTAAGTCTTTAGGCACTGAATCATAGCACTGAGCTGAAGCCCGGGGCTAAGCAAGAATGAGTGAGAACTTGGAGACTTAAGAGTTTGGTCATCTGTAGAGGATTGGGTTTTGGTTTTTTGTTTTGTTTTGTTTTGTTTTTTGGTGCCCTACAAGGTTTCTTTCTCACTGCCCTTCATCAGGTAATATGCCCTGCCCCCTGAACTGGCCAATTGTGTTACCCCATTCCCTTAGCAACAGTGATTGCTACTGAAGAAACAGGAGGCCAACAAAGAATCTCACTCACTCACCGGTAGAGTGTCTATGTCAGAGATATTAGATGAACAGGAAAACATAATTACACTGCAGGCTGTGGAAGCACAGAGAGGTACCTAAGGCACACCTGTGGGAATATGGAAGTTTGGTTTCATAAAAGGATTCTGGAGGAGGTCACCTCTGACATCTGAGCTGAGTCCTACAGGATATGGAGAAAGGAGCCCCATGTTTCAGTTACTATGGCTGTGTAATAAATTACCTAAAACATACTGGATTAAAGCTGTCAAAACATCTTTTCTGCTCAGAGATTCTCTGGGCCTGAAATTCACCTGGAACACATAAGGCATACCTTGTTTCTGCTCCATGATGTCTAAGGATTCAGCTGGAAGACTGGGAGGCTGGAGGCTGGAATTATCTGAAGAATGACTCATTTACATGTCTGCTGGTTGACCCTGGCTGTTGGCTGAGGGGGCCTCAGCTCTCTCTACACTGTCTCTCTACTTTGGCTGGTTTGGATTTCCTCAAAACATGATGGCTGGTCCCCAGTGTCAGCATCCCAAAAAGAGGGAGTGCCGGACACCGTGGCTCACACCTGTAATCTCAGCACTTTGGGAGGCTGAGGTGGGAGGCTGCTTGAGTTCAGAAGCTCAAGACCAGCCTGGGCAACATAGCGAGACTCTGTCTCTACCAACAATTTTTAAAATTTTAAAAATTATCCAGGTGTGGTGATGCATACCTATAGTCCCAGTTAGTTAGGAGGCTGAGGCAGGAGGATCACTTGATCCCAGGAGGTCAAGGCTGCTGTGAGCTATGACCACACCACTGCACTTCAGCCTGGGCAAGAGAATGAGACTCTGTTTCAGACAAACACCCAAACAAACACACACACACACACACACACACACACACACACACACACACACACACAAAGAGGGAGTTAGGAGGAAGCTGCATCCTTTTTAAGACCTAGACTTGGAAGTCACCGAGCATCACTTCTGCAGTACCCTATTGGTTGGAATGATTATAGCCCCGACCCGAATGCGAAGGGAGGAGAATAGATAACATCCCTGGGTGACAGGAATGTCAAAGTCCCAAACAGCATATGACATACGACAAATATTGGTGTGGCTCTCTTTGGAAGATCCAATCTTCCATACCGGGCAAAGGGATGGAAGACTAAGGAACAACATCAGGAATAGCCCGAGAGGGAAAAAGCACCACTTGTTCTAGGAACTACAAATAGTTTGGAGAAGCAAAGATGTCTAGATGCCTCCCAATATGCAGAGTAGGGTGTACAGAAGAGAGTGGTAAGGGCACTGGCAGAGCTAAGGTGGGCAAGAAAGCTTCCTCTGTCATACTAAAAAAGCTGGAATTTATCTTGATGGTAGTGAAAGCGGAGGGCTATGGTTAGATTCACATTTGAGATTTAGATTTTTAGATTTAAAACGATCACCCTGGTGACACTGGCTTAACTCACAATTTTGCCCAAGGCCTATGCTACTGCAGTGCTTCTGAAACTTTAAAGCACATTAGAATCACCTGGAGGTCTTGTTCAACCATGGAATGCTGGGCCTCGAAACCCCAGAGATTCCGATTCAGTAGGTCGAGAACAGGGCCTGAGAATTTGTATTTCTAACAAGTTTCCAGGTGATGCTGAGGCTGCTGGCCCAGGGACCGTATTTGAGAATCATTGCCCTATGATAAATCCTATCAAAATATCCTAATGGCAGAGCATGGCAATTCTGGTGAAATTCTCCCCTACCCATAACCTGACAGCTGTTAGGATCTGCCTACCTGGGGCTAAAAGCAACCAAGAGAGGAACAGGTACAGTGTACTAGAGGGTCCCTCAACATCTTTGCCCACGCCACAGTGCCCCAGCTTCTTACCAAGTGTGCCTGATTCCTCTTGACTACCTCCAGGGAACTGGAGAAGGACGAGTTCTTTTGAAGCCTTCATCTTCTCTGATCTGCTACTCTAGGTCTATTTCTTTGGCCAAAAAGTTGGCGCAATGATACCAACTTTGCAGGCAGCTGGAGCATTTGCTAGTGGCCTTTCTATGTCAGAACTTGCTAAGCATGCTGGCTAATAACGATACAACAAGGTCGCGGTGGCTCACACCTGTAATCCCAGCACTTTGGGAGGCCAAAGGGCAGATCACCTGAGGTCAGGAGTTCGAGACCAGCCTGGCCAACATGGTGAAACCCCATCTCTACTAAAAATACAAAAATTAGCCAGGCATGGTGGTGGGGACCTGTAGTCCCAGCTACTCTGGAGGCTGAGACAGGAGAATCGCTTGAACCCAGGAGGTGGAGATTGCAGTAAGCAGAGATGGCACCACTGCACTCCAGCCTGGGCAACAAAGCAAGACTCTGTCTCAAAAAATAATAATAATAATAATAGTAACTAATGACGCAGCTCTGAGTATATAATGCAGTTCTGATGATGTGAGGAAGGGCCTTACTGTTGGTGTGGCAGAGTCTGAGACCACGGCTGGCAACAGAAACACTCCCTGTTGATGCCTATGGGCTCTCCCTTTATGGCTTCAAGGAGGGCTTCTCAATCTTGGCAGTATTTTGGACTGGACACTTCTTTGTTGCACAGGTTGGGGGCTGTCTTGCACAACACAGGACGTTTCATCCCTGGCCTCTACCTACCAGATGCCAGTAGAACACACCCACCCCACAGCTGCCCATTGTGATAATCAAAAGCATCTCCAGATACTTTGCAGGGGGAAAATGATTTCTCCAGGCCTGGCATATACATAACAGTATTTAAGCAGCTGCCTAGAATTAAACACAGAAAGACGTCTCTCATCCAGAACGCCCTGGACCACCTCTTTGACAGGCAATCAGATCCTCACCTCCTCCACCCTATTTTTGAAGGCCCTGTGCCAACGCCTGTTCTTCCATGAATACTTCCTTGGTTCCCCCATCCCTAGCTCTATATACTCCCATTCAACACTCATACCTGTTACATTCCTCTTGACACTTGTTATTTAGCATCCTAAGTATGTAAACATGTCTCTCTTCACGATTCACAAAGCGGCTTTGGAAGAACTTTAGTACCTTCCCATCTTCTCTGCCATGAAAAGTGTACACGATTCACATTTTCTTTTTTCTTTTTTTTTTTTTCTTTAAGACAGTATCTTGTTATGATGGCCGGGCTGGGATGCAGTGACTATTCATTCACAGGCACAATCTTGGCTCACTGCAGCCTTGAGCTCCCAGGCTCAAGTGATCCTCCTGCCTCAGCCTCCTGAGTAGCTGAGATCACAGGCATGCACTACCACACTCGGCTCACATTTGACATCATCTAAAGCATATATAAAATGTGAAGAAAACTTTCACAATTTGCATCCTTTTGTAATATGTAACGGAAATAAAATTCTATTTTAAAATCTATCAACAATAGGCAAAGCACGGTGGGTGGTTCATGCCTACAGTCTCAGCACTTTGAGGCCCAGGCGGAAGGATTGCTTGAGCCTAGAAGTTCAAGACCACCATGGGCAACATAATGAAACCCTTTCCACAAAAAATACAAAAATTAGCTGGGTGTGGTGGCACACACCTGTAGTCCCAGCTACTTGGGAGGCTGAAATGGGAGGACTGCCTGGGCCCTAGAGGGGGAAGTTGCAGTAAGCCAGGACCGCACCATTGCACTCCAGCCTGGGCTACAGAGTGAGACTCTGTCTCAAACAAACAAATAAATGAGGCGGGTGGATCGCGAGGTCAGGAGATTGAGACCATCCTAACACGGTGAAACGCCGTCTCTACTAAAAAAAAAAAAAAAAAAAAAAAAATTAGCCGGGTGTGGTGGCGGGCGCCTGTAGTCCCAACTACTCGACAGGCTGAGGCAGGAGAATGGCGTGAGCCGGGGAGGCGGAGCTTGCAGTAAGCCGAGATCGCACCACTGCACTCCAGCCTGGGGGACAGAGTGAGACTCCGTCTCAAAAATAAATAAACAAACAAAATCTATTAACAATATTTATTGTGCACTTAACAGGAACCATGCCCTGTCCAAAAAAACTTTACAGGGCTTAACTCATTTTATCCTTACCACAATCCTATGAAGCAGGAACTTTTATAAACTGCATTTTATAAACAAGGCACAGAGAGGTTAATTAACTTGCCCGTTGGTCACACAGCTAGGAAGTGGGCAGAGTACAGATTTACACAAGGCATCCGTCTCCTGGCCCCACATACCCAACTGCTGTAAACCCATACCGGCGGCCAAGCAGCCTCAATTCGTGCATGCACCCACTTCCCAGCAAGACAGAGCTCCCAAGATCCTCCTGTTGAGAATTTTTGAAGCGGCGGGACACCAGGCTGTAGTCTCCCTGGGATCAGGGGTCCTGGTTGCACTCCGTGCTTTGCACAAAGCAGGCTCTCCATTTTTGTTAAATGCACGAATAGTGCTAAGCTGGGAAGTTCTTCCTGAGGTCTAACCTCAGGCTGTTTCCCCACAGAAGAGTGCCTGCGGCCAGTGGCCACCAGGGGTCGCCGCAGCACCCCGCCCTGGAGGGCGGAGCGGGCGGCAGACCCAGAGCAGCATGTGGACTTTCGGGCGCCGCGCAGTTGCCGGCCTCCTGGCGTCCCCGAGCCCGGCCCAGGCCCAGACCCTCACCCGGGCCCCGCGGCTGGCAGAGTTGGCCCAGCTCTGCAGCCGCCGGGGCCTGCGCACCGGCATCAATGCGACCTGCACAACCCACCACACCGTGAGTATCCGCGCCGGGAACCGCCGCGGGCCGCACGCCGCGCGCCGCACGCCGGCGTAGGGAGGTGCCGCGCACGCCGTGGACGCTCCGGGTACGCGCGCCGGTCTAGCTCACCCTGCTTGGTCTCAGGGCGGTCCGGCGGTAGCGGCCTTGCAACTCCGTTCTCTAGTTCTCCCGGTTGCATTTGCACTGGCTTCTGCTTTCCGATGGAAAAGGGGACATTTTGTCCTGCAGTGCGACTGCAGCGCACGGCACGGGCGAAGGCAGGGCAGGCCGGTGGAGGGGACCGGTTCCGAGGGGTCTGCGGCTGTCTCCATGCTTGTCACTTCGCACCGATAACTTGTTTCAGTAATATTAATAGGTGGTATCTTCTAGTATATACATACACATCATGTATGTGTCTGTGTGTATCTATATATAACGTGTATATAACGTGTGTGTGTGTGTGTGTTGGCGCGCACGGGCGCGCACATACCTAGTATTTTTTTTTTTTTTTTGAGACGGAGTCTCGCTCTGTCGCCCAGGCTGGAGTGCAGTGGCCGGATCTCAGCTGACTGCAAACTCCGCCTCCCGGGTTCACGCCATTCTCCTGCCTCAGCCTCCGGAGTAGCTGGGACTACAGGCGCCCGCCACCTCACCCGGCTAGTTTTTTTGTATTTTTTAGTAGAGACAGGGTTTCACCGTGTTAGCCAGGATGGTCTTGATCTTGTGACCTCGTGATCCGCCCGTCTCGGCCTCCCAAAGTGGTAGGTATGACCGTGCCCGGCCATACCTAGTATTTTTAAGGCTAGATTTTTTGAACGAAATGCTTTCCTGGAGCGAGGTGAAACTTTCAGAGCTGCAGAGTAGCTAGAGCAGCAGGGGCCCTGGCTTCTGGAAAATGACCCGACCTTCATTCCAAATTCTGCCCCACTCCGCAGAGCTGTGTGACCTTGGGAGATCCCCTAACCTCTCTGAGACGTGGCTTTGTTTTCTGTAGGGAGAAGATAAAGGTGACGCCCATTTTGCGGACCTGGTGTGAGGATTAAATGGTAATAACATAGATAAAGTCTTCAGAACTTCAAATTAGTTCCCCTTTCTTCCCTTGGGTGTACAAAGAAATATCTGGCCCAGTTATGCCACGACTTGAAAGGAGGAAACCCAAAGAATGGCTGAGGGGATGAGGAAGATTCCTCAAGGGGAGGACGGGGTATTTAATGAGGGTCTTGAAGATGCCAAGGAAGTGGTGGAGGGTGTTCCACAAGGAGGGAACCGTCTGGGCAAAGGCAGGGAAGGCGGAAGGGGATCCCTTCTGAGTGGCTGGGCATGTATTAGGGGAGATGAAAGAGGCAGGCCAAGTCCAAGCCATATTTGTGTTGCTCCCCGGAGTTTGTACTTTAGGCTTAAACTTCCCACTTACACGTGTTATTTGGCCCGCATTGTGTTTGAAGCAGCTTTGGGATTGGTTGCCAGTGCTTAAAAGTTGGGACTTAGAAAATGGATTTCCTGGCAGGGCGCGGTGGCTCATGCCCATAATCCCAGCACTTTGGGAGGCCTAGGCAGGTGGATCACCTGAGGTCAGGAGTTCAAGACTAGCCTGGCCAACGTGGTGAAACACTGTCTCTACTGAAAAATACAAAAAAAAGGCCGGGCGCGGTGGCTCACGCCTGTAATCCCAGCACTTTGGGAGGCCGAGACGGGCGGATCACAAGGTCAGGAGATCGAGACCATCCTGGCGAACCCGGTGAAACCCCGTCTCTACTAAAAAATACAAAAAAAAAACTAGCCGGGTGAGGTGGCAGGCGCCTGTAGTCCCAGCTACTCGGGAGGCTGAGGCAGGAGAATGGCGTAAACCCGGGAGGTGGAGCTTGCAGTGAGCTGAGATCCGGCCACTGCACTCCAGCCTGGGTGACAGAGCGAGACCCCGTCTCAAAAAAAAAAAAAAAAAAAAAAAAAGAAGAAAAAGAAGAAAGAAAGAAATGTTAGCCGGGCATGGTGTCGCGCGCCTGTAATCCCAGCTACTCGGGAGGTTGAGGCAGGAGAATCACTTGAACCCGGGAGGTGGAGGTTGCATTGAGCCAAGATCGCCCACTGCACTCCAGCCTGGGTGACAGAGCAAGAATCTATCTCAAAAAATAATTATAATAAATAAAAATAAAAAATAAAATGGATTTCCCAGCATCTCTGGAAAAATAGGCAAGTGTGGCCATGATGGTCCTTAGACCCCCTCTAGGAAAGCAGACATGTATTACTTGGCTTCTGTGCACTACCTGAGCTGCTGCATGTTGGGCTTCCACCCCTGCCTGTGTGGACAGCATGGGGTGTCAGCAAAGTTGTTTTTTCTGTTTTTTTTTTTTTGAGACGGAGTCTCACTCTGTCACCAGGTTGGAGTGCAGTGGCGCAATTTCGGCTCACTGCAACCTCTGCCTCCCGGGTTCAAATGATTCTCCTACCTCAGCCTCCTGAGTAGCTGGGATTATAGGCTAATTTTTTAGTAGAGATGGGTTTCTCCATGTTGGTCAGGCTGGTCTCGAACCCCCAACCTCAGGTGATCCGTCCGCCTTGCCCTCCCAAAGTGCTGGAATTACAGGCGTGAGCCACCGCATCCGGCAGTCAGCAGAGTTTTTAATTTAGGAGAATGACAAGAGGTGGTACAGTTTTTTGGATGGTACCTGGTGGCTGTTAAGGGCTGTTGACTGACAAACACACCCAACTTGACGCTGGCACCCAGGAGGTGGACACTGGGTTTATGGATAGATGGTTAGCAACCTCTGTCACCAGCTGGGCGTCTTTTTTCCATACTGAATTAATCACATTTGTTTAACCTGTCTGTTCCACAGTTCCCTTGCACATCTTGGGTATTTGAGGAGTTGGGTGGATGGCAGTGGCAACTGGGGCCACCATCCTGTTTAATTATTTTAAAGCCCTGACTGTCCTGGATTGACCCTAAGGTCCCCTTGGTCTCCAAAATTCATCAGAAACTGAGTTCACTTGAAGGCCTCTTCCCCACCATTTTCTCTATCCCTTACATCTACTTCTAGAGCAGCTGTTCAACAGAAACAGAATGGGAGCCACACACATAATTCTACATTTTCTAGTTAAAAAGAAAAAAAATCATTTTCAACAACATATTTATTCAACCTAGTACATACAAAATTTTATCGTTCCAACATGTAATCAGTATTTTAAAAATCAGTAATGAGGCCAGGCACTGTGGCTTACGCCTGTAATCCCAGGAGTTTGGGAGGCTGAGGGGAGTGGATCATCTGAGATCAGGAGTTCAAGACCAGCCTGGCCAACATGGTGAAACCCCATCTCTACTAAAAATTAGCTCGGCATGGTGGTGGGTGCCTGTAGTCCCAGCTACTCAGGAGGCTGAGGCATGAGAATACTTGAGCCCAGGAGGTGGACGTTGCAGTGAGCCGAGATTTTGGGAGACTCTGTCACACGCACACACACAAATCAGTAATTAGATATCTTACATACTTGTGTCACACACACAAAAAAATGTGTCTCACACACACAAAAATCAGTAATTAGATATCTTACATACTCTTTCATACTCATATACTTCCAGCATATCTCAATTCACAATTTCCAAGTAAATGCTTGATCTCTATTTAGTTTTATAAAATTGACAATTGAAAATGATGGTTCACATAGTCAAGTTGTTCCAAACACACTTAAATGTCTCCTAGGCAGGGTGTGGTCACTCACGCTTGTAATCCCAGCACTTTGGGAGGCCAAGATGGGCGGATCACCTGAGGTCAGGAGTTTGAGACCAGCCTGGCCAACATGGTGAAACCCTGTCTCTACTAAAAATACAAAAATTAGTTGGGTGTGGTGGCGGGCGCCTGTAATCCCAGCTACTCAGGAGGCTGAGGCAGGATAATTGCTTGAACCTGGGAGGCGGAGGTTGCAGTGAGCTGAGATCACACTACTGCACTCCAGTCTGGGCGACAGCGAGACTCCATCTCCAAAAAAAAAAGGAAAAAAGAAAAAAAGTCTCTTAATAACGTTATTACTTTATTATCACCTCAAATAATTAAAATTAAATAAAGTCGAAAATCCAGGTCCTCAGTCCCATTAGCCACATTTCTAGTGCTCAGTAGCCACGGGGGCTGGTGACCACCACGTGGAACAGCGTATTTAGTGCCTGATCATTGGTTCTCAGATCTGGCTACTCAGCAGAACCAAGAATCCACAGAAATGGCTTTTAAGAGCACAACCCCAAAGTCCCCAGCCCCAACCTTACTTACCCGGAGGCTGGAAAGGACTCTGGTTCCAAAAGGCAGCCTGTGTTTTTTGATGGAGGGATGTGACAGGGGCTGCGTCTTTAACGTTTCCTCTTAAATACTGGAGACAGCTTTGAGGAGGAGATAACTGGATGTGTCTTAGTCCATTTTCTGTTGCTTGTAACAGAATACCTGAAACTGGGCAATTTGTATGGTAAAATAATGGTTTTTTTACTGCTCTGGAGGCTAAGTCCAAGGTGCAGTCCCTTCTTGCTGGTAGGGACTTTGCAGAGTATTGAGGCGGCACGAACGTCTATGGTAAGGGGCTGACTGTGTTACCTCTTTTCTTTTCTCATAAAGCCTAACTAGTTTCACTCCCATGATAACCCATTCATCTATGAATGGATTAATCCATTCTTGAGGGAAGAACCTTCATGACCCAGTCACCTCTTAAAGGCCCCACCTCTCAATACTGCCACGTTGAGAATTAAGTTTCAACATGAGTTTCGGAGGTGACAGACATTCAAACCATAGCATGCTGCCTCTTAAATAACTCAATAAGCTCCTGTGGCATCCACTTCTGCATGCCTTGGACAGCTTTTAGACATCTATTTTCCTAGAGGGACAAGACCATCACCTGTGATCCTATGACCTTTTGGCTTTAGGCCTAACAAGCAGGTTATACCCTCACTCACTTTCAAATCATTTTGATTGTCTTGCAGACAATTTACACAAATTTCCACATAGAAAAGGATATATAAATATTTATACTGCTGCCAGGCACGG